GCACATCGATGTTGTCGAGGTCGAAACTCCCTAGAAACATTTCTGGCTTATCAACTAACACCACACTGTAGCATAATATAGTTTTTTTCTTTCTAGCACCATGTTTATGAGTTGCTGGACTATGGATCATTGGTCATATTATCTCTAAGAATATTAGAATGCATTCACTCTCGTCCTAGATCCTTCTTGGAAGCACATTGATTTCTTGAGCCGCTACATTTGTTACGCATCTTTTTCTCCCTTCTAACTGATTGTGCTCCTTTGATCCAATCTAATGCTCAACTTTTAACTCTTGACATTAAGATGGTCACTGTAACAACTCGATCAAAATCTCATTTCTACGAGGCTATCTGAAGGCTCTTCAAATGCCCACATCAGTTTTGCTCATCTAACACGACTCATCTTTCTGTTGTTTTACTCTTGAAGGATGAGTGACTCCACTTGTTCCATCAATTTGAGATACACTCGCATTCCGAACTTCATATCCTACCCGTTAAATCTACAGATAAATTAGAGCTAAAGGCATTTATAAGAAATATGCTGTTTTATATTATACGATGAGGATATTTATGCCCATCTGAGTTGCTTCCTTGTATTGGTCACATTGTAGTTGAATCCTATACCAATTTGTGTCTGCTGCAAGCTTTCCTGTGGTAATAATGCCCATCTGAGTTGCTGCCTTGTATTAGACGCATTGTAGTTGAATGCTAGATCAATTTGTGTCTTCTGCAAACTTTCCTATGGTAATAAGTGGACTGTTAGACACCGTATAGTCCTGATGTTTGCAGGTGAAGATACAGAAGATGAGATCTGACTTAGAAGAGAAACTGATGAAGAGGATGGCAATTGTTCACCGAAGGGCTGAGGAATGGAGAGCAGCAGCCCAGCTGCAGCATTCACAGCAGTTGCAGAGACTATCTTTGCAGGCACAGAAGATGAAGAGCCAGCAGCAGAGCACTCGCTTATCTGGAGAAACAGCTTGCGGCTGTTTCCCTTGCAACCACCACCTCTAAATACAAAACAGAGCAAAGGACATCTCTCTTCCCACAAGAAACCCGGATAGATCGAGAGCAACTCATGTAACGAGTGCTAACTTGGTGGATTCAGATGAGTTGCCTGAGCACAAACGAAGGATCATGGAGAGAACATGTGGCCTCTAGCAAGTGTAATATTCAATTTCCTGACAACTACAATGCCTTCATTAGCCAAAAACCATTAGAAGATTTCACTGAGATGAAAGGAAAGGGTTCATATTTTCCAGCCTCCTCCATGTAGTCTTAGTCTATTATCTTAGTGCTTTCTCGACACTGAAGCTCTGAGCAGTGCTTAATTCACTGTCCTCAAATTTGAAATGAGATTTAGGGTAACTGTTCCTGTGTTGAAAGAGCAAGAACAGGATGAGGTGAGACGACAGGAAAGCGATGTGATGTTATTGACTATCCATGCTTGGGTTGATTTCCTACTTGGATGTGGATTGCACCATTACTTGATAGTTTCAGCCTGACAGTATAAATCATTTCACATCTGGTGAGATCTTGATAACATTTGGAGATGGTTTGGAAGATCTGATAACCATGATTTATCTTTGTAAATCCATGTTCTGGATAAGATTAATATGCAAGGAAAATGTTGAGACCACACTGTAAAGATTGTGTCTCATTCAGTTAATGATGTGAGATGAACTGCCAGTATCAAGGCTTACTATGTGCATTCTATTAGGAAAACACAGTTGAACTGGAATTCTTACTGTCATCTCTGGACCCTGCAAAAGATTATGAGTCTTAGTTCCAATAAACATAACCTTTTGGAAGATTGAGAGATCATTAGAAGAAACAGACCATCTGTTTACTGCTGTGGTTCCACTGGAAAACATTAGAAGATGACCAATAAAGGAGCATTGCTGATTAATATGTTTTTTACAGAGAAGTAAATGAAGTAAAATCTCTAGTGCCAAACTGAAGCCCTCAATACTTAATATGCCCTTTGAATGCTGAATCTTGTAACTTCAACATGGATTTTTGTTCTTTTTCATGTATAGCAATTTGTCATCCAGGAATCAAGAATGCCAGAACACAGATCTAGCTTTCGATTACTACTAGCGTTGAGAGAAGGTAGAAAATGGTTGCAAGGTCAATTGAACCAGTTGCTCACTGAACATGATAAGATTCTATCATGGATTGTACTCCGGACAAATTCGGAGCAAATCCTTAAGTTTAAACCAAACAACACAAAAATATGAAGAGAGCTGGAGAAAAAGCGAAACATAAAGGACTTCAATCCAGATTTTTCAAGGGCAATGACACAGAATCAGAGCACCATATGTTTACATGAAAAGGAAAAGTTCATTAACGGGACCATCGACGCACTGTTTAAAGTTTTCTACAGCTAAAGCAGCATAACTGGGTTCTCCAATAAACCATATCTTTTCGGATTAGTAACGTACCTGTGTTCTTCGCTCCTTGTCATTGACATCCAGTACAATTCTAGGAAATAGTCGACGATCCAGTCTATGCCAGGCTAAGAGAAGTTACAGAGGAAATTTCCATAATTGTTTGTGCCTCGTTGCATAATATAACAACAAAGACATTTGCTTTTGAGAGGCAAATAATGGAAATTTACAGGCAAAGGTTCTACCGTCTTTCCTTTGGCATCAGAAGATGGATTAAAATGCACCATGAAGGAACATATACATTGCACGACTATATGATCATTGTACAGTAGCAAACAGTTGCAATAACGATATCAAACAATGAAATCAAGATAAGAGTCCTACAAAATTTCTTCAGCACTCAGACAGTAGCCTCCACTCTTGGCTCAAATGAGATGGCAGACGTGAACTCCTTGGCCTTTCCGTTCACATAAAACTTGGGCAGCTCAACCCACTCACCAGCCGCCATATCGAGCATTATATTTCTGCTGCATTCACTTGAGTTGGCACAGATAAAGATCATGTCCTGGCAACCTGTGCAGTTTATGTCCATTTTTTGCCCATAGAACTCATGAGACATTGATGGTGGCATGGCCGCTACTTGTTGCCATGAATGGCTTTCCTCGCAGAACTTCCAGACTCTCAGGCTTGCAGACTCCAGAAATTCTGATAAGACAACCACTAACATCTCTCCGTTGCACTCAACCACGTCGATCGAGTACTCCAAGTAGATAGGCAAAAGTCTAGGATACTCGAAAAATGCTTTCTGAGCAAGATTACAAGCCACGATAGTTCCTGTTTCACTGAGGAAATATACAACCTGTTCTCCATCTTCTGTGATGAGAACCGATGAGTATTGTTTTGATGGGCTTCTCTGCATGTTTGTGGCAATGACATCTCCAGCTTTGCTAAGGAAATAAATGATCTCATCTCCAGATACGTGAGAATCTGAAGAACTCCCAGCTTTCTGAGCCAACATAACTTCATCTTCCCATGTAGACTTCATGGAGTCAAAGACTCTGAAAGCAAGGTTTGGTGATTTACCCGAAACTAGTATAATCTTAAATGAAGATGGATAGATTGGAGTAGAGCACATGGCAACTGCTTGTAAAGCATGGCTTTCACCACCATGGCCTGCCGGTGGGATCTCACGGCATGACCCTGTGAGGAGATTCGACACAATGAATTTGCCAGAGTCTGTGCGGTAGCACACAAGACCGCCAGATGCAGAGACAGGAACGGGTTTACAACTACGGCTTTGCGGGATGCAAGATTGATGACCGACACTTTTCCAATTCCTTTCACTGGTGTCGAAAGCAATCGAGTGGTCAAGATCTTGATCAACCATAAGAAACCACGGTTCTCTGAAGGGTATCCGAGAGCAAGCAACACGAAATGTCTCGGAGGTGACAACAGATCTCCATCTCTTGCACACCGAACGGAGACGAAAGAAGGTCGAAGCAGGCAGCCAGGAGAGGACCCTCTCGAGTAGGTCTTGGTTCAGCTCATCTAAGAAGAAGGTAGGTATGACATGAGCTTCTTCTTCTGCCTTTCTCTTCCTGCTTTTTCTTGCTAAGAGATCCATGTGCTGTTCCATCTACTGGAGTCACTGAAGGAGACACAAAGGAGAGATATGTTAGATAAAGAAGCAAACTTTATCAGTCTACATGGGAATTTATAAGATTTAAAGACAAAATAAAAGCATATAAATACCATGTGAGCTATGAACATTAGATATAGGAATTAAGCATCATAGTAGAGTAAAAAATGTAAAATCACACAAATCATAATACATTAGGAGCAAAAGAGAAGAGATATCCCAGGAGACATATAAAGCCCAAATCCAAATTCCAGGAGCAAGAAGAACACAGTAAGAACAAGCTTTAATTGAGAGCATGATTAAGCTTAATTAGTACATTTACAGGAAGCAATAACGGTGCCAAAAATCTAGAAATTGCAGTACCCAATAATTTGTGCTCAAACATGGAACCCTATGGGTGCTAAAGATAAGATCTATCATTCCAGCAATTTTTAGGTGAAGAAACATAGAGACAATCTGACCATCCAAAATCATATCTTTCAGACACCTTTGCCAGGAAGAACAAGCTAAATACTAACTCATGCTGTTTACAGAAGAAGACATGGCAAATGCTCTTCAAAATCCATGGTCGACTTAGTACAAACAAAAACAAATCCTTCCCAGAAAACAAGGATCGATGGTTGCATCTCAACAGGGGGATAAAATTATACTGAGATCCACACCATGAAAACCACAGAAACATCTCCTTCAGGTGAACTATCTCAAACCCCATGACCCTGTTTTGCTCCGGTAGAATCAGTATGTGTAACGCAGCCAAAATCATGTCTTTTCCCAACCCCTTTCTAATTTTCCATAGCAGAAAGCAAGTAAAGTGGAGAAAAAAGAAATCCTAGAAAGGATATCAGAATCATAACTTTCTCACATCACTCTCGAGTGACCCGCAATGGAATCCAAGACGATTAAGAACCCTAATCGGATAGGAAATCAAAGGAAGTACCTTGGTGACACTCGTAGGCTCAGGGCACGGAGGAGGTGGTAACTGTGGGGAGGGATCCAAGTGGGAATGGGTGCGGCGTCGTGGGCTTCTCCTCCGCCCTTTTGTAATGGTTGAGAAGGACGGCAAGGAGGCGGATAGAGAAGGAAGGAAACTTCGTGAGGAGCTCTTTTTGTTTTGCGTTGACAGCCGGGAGGAGTGAGATGTGTTGGGGGTTGTGCGCGCGCGCGCCGGTGTTGGTGCTTGGACAACAGCCAAGTAGAAGAGAGCCGAAAGGCCCGAAGCCCCAAAGCTGGTCTCTTTTGGCAGAGAGGTGCATGTGAGTGGCTGCTGACACTCACCAGCACATTTGGGTGGGGTAGCAGCGTACGAGAAAGACCACAAGGTTGCATCTTTGTGTTGCTTTCGGATTTGATTCATTCCTCTATTTGTTTCAGATCAATGAATCCGTATGTGAGAACAACGTATATCTCACTGTCAGCTTAGTTCTTCCTCCTGACGAGGAGGACATTCTCGGAGAAGCCTAACATCAATCTCAATCACATACGAAGGTTCCTTCACATCAATCTGCTCTCCGTCTTCTTGCAATCGGATCATCAGCAGGAGTTTTTCTATACAGGTTTCGTGTGTTGACTGCCATCACTGTGATCATGCATGGATTAGGATCCAACTTCATGTAGCTACATGAGAGTCTCTCGCTTCCCAAGATCTATGTTAGCTGCGTGCGTTGGTATTCGAACTCTACATGGAAAAAGGACTCCAAAGCAGAGACTACGTGAAAGAAACAAAGAGAAGAAGACAAGGGAGGCGGGAAAAGAGAGAGAAAGAGAGAGGCAAACGGACAGACAGACGCATGTCAAAGGGGTGAAGAAGAAGAGGAGATCTGCTGCTACTGCTGACCTTCGTAAAGCAAAAGCCAACGAGACAACAACA